AGAGCTGGAGATCCCCAAGTGGGTCAGGCTTTGCTTCCTTTTCGCAAAGAGGGAGACATCTTCAGGCATCGCTGAGTATTTGGAAGGTTGTGAGAGTGGTCCAGCATTTCTGTATTCTCAAATAATATGTTGGGTCCAGGTTGGTTCATCAGGTGCTCTTCTATGGCTGAGTTCTCTGGTTGAAGTCGTCTGCAGTGCCTTTCATGTTCCTTGATTTGTGTTTGGTGGTCCCTCTGTAGACTTGTCCACAGCTGCATGGTACACGGTAGACTCCTGCAGAAGTGAGAGGATCCCTCTTGTTCTTTGCTGAACGGAGCATTGGTTGGATTTTCTTAGTGGGTCTGGAGATAGTTTGAAGATTGTGTTACCTTCATCAGTTTCCCTATGTGGTCAGTGGTTCCCTTGATGTATGGCAAGAACACTTCAATAATAACAATAACAACAACAATAATAACAACTACTCTAGGACTTCCAAATTCAATCTGACAGAGTTTTGGAGCACAATGCTCTTGACCTCACGATCGTGGAAAAAAACAAAGTATGGATCATCAATGTTGCAAGCTCACGCAACAGCAGAATTGATGAGCATTTGGAAAAGCTTATGCGATACAAGGATTTAAAGATCGAACTGCAAAGACTCTGGCATAAGCCAGTCAGGGGGGTCTCAGTGGAGATCGGCACACTGGGTGCAGTGCCCAAAGACCTTGGCCTGCACTTAAAAACAATCAGCGCTGACAAAATTACCACCTGCCAGCTACAAAAGGCCACCCTACTGGGATCTGCACACATTATTTGCCAATACATCACACAGTCCTAGACACTTGGGAAGTGTTTGACGTGGGATTGAATACAAAAGACAGCATTGTGATCTTGTTTGCTGTGCTCTAATCATGTTGTGTTTCAAATGATGATGATGATGATGATGATGATGATGATGTCCTGGAGTTGTAATCCGACACTCAGACCAAAAGGCAAACTTCTCCATCTTTTCCTAACTATTTTGTCCTTCCTCACTTAATAACCTTTGCCATCTTGGTGTCATGCTGATGTTGTGTGTCCTGGTTTTCACCTGCCAAGGGGTATCAGACAGGATATTTTTGTTTCTCGGCCTGACCTGGAGGTGCGAGGGAGTTAAACCTGGAATGGGCTGCCTGCAAAGCAAGGCACAGCTCCTCCCTGGTTTGGATCTGGCTCTGGGGTGAGGAAGGACAAGGGAAATCGTTTGGGCAGCTTTGGGGTGAGGCCAGGTCCTCTTCCATTCACAAATGCCCCTCGGCTTGTGCCGGTTGCCAGCTTGTTTTCTTCTCCCCTGTGAGGCTCCTGTCCCAGCCGAGGGTCCCACACAGGAAATGCTCGGTTAATTTTAGCCGGAGGATCTCCGTTACCTCTGCTTCTCGGGCACCTGGTGCTCCACTTTCCTTTTGAAAAGGGAGGGATTTCCATTCCCAAAGGCTGATGCAAGGTTCCCAATTGAGTCTGTCCATCTTCTGCAGGGCTAAATCCTGACTCAGGTCAACTTCCAGATAAATCCCAGCTGGGGGAAGTTCTTTCTCTCGTCTGGAAGCAGAATTTACTTTACAAAAGAGTTAGTCGAAAGGTGTTTGAGAAGGTCATCATATGTTAGTTTGTGTACCACTGTTTTTTGTTTCAGACGTGGTTTTGCCAGTTTCTTGATCACATTTACTGAATTCCACGGAGTGCTGTGCTTAAAATCCGGGAAGCCACTCTCCTCGTCATTACATCAGTTTGGCTTCAAGTGTAGGAGAGAGCATTCTTGGCGCAGGGTTCTTGTAGGTTTTTTTGTTCTATATGGCCATGGTGTAGAGGCATTCTCTCCTGACGTTTCACCTGCATCTATGGCAAGCATCCTCAGAGGTAGTGAGGTCTGTTGGAACTAGGCAAAAGAATTTATATATCTGTGGCATGACCAGGGTGGGACAAAGGACTCTTCTCTGCTAGAGCTAGGTGTGAATGTTTCAACTGACCACCTTGATTAGCATACAATGGCCTGACTGCGCCTGGGGCAAACTTTTGTTGAGAGGTAATTAGATGTCCTTGTTTGTTTCCTCTCTGTTGTTGCTGTTGCAATTTTAGAGTTTTTTAATACTGGTAGCCAGATTTTGTTCATTTTCATGGTTTCCTTTCTGTTGAAATTGTCCACATGCTTCTTGTGGATTTCAATGGCTTCTCTGTGTAGCCTGACATGGTGGTTGTGAGAGTGGTCCAACATTTCTGTGTTCTCCAGTAATATGCTGTGTCCAGGTTGGTTCCTCGGGTGCTCTGCTATGGCTGACTTCTCTGGTTGAAGTAGTCTGCAGTGCCTTTCATGTTCCTTGATTCGTGTTTGGGCAATGCGTTTAGTGGTCCCTATGTAGACTTCTTGTCCACAGCCCTTTTTCCTTGTTCCAACAGACCTCACTACCTCTGAGGATGCTTGCCATAGATGCAGGCGAAACGTCAGGAGAGAGTGCCTCTAGACCATGGCCATACAGCCCGAAAAAACCTACAACAACCCAGTGATTCCGGCCATGAAAGCCTTCGACAATATATTCTTGGCGCATTTTAAGCATGGGGACAAGCATTCTTTTAAAACGTTTCATGAGGTGGCAGGGATGTGGATTTTTTGAAGTAATCCAGATGTTTGGCCATTTCTGTAAAGTCATGGCATTCATTGCTCCCAGGTTTACAATAAAACGTTTCCCCAATTTGTGGGAGGGGAAATTGTGGGAGGAGCCAAAAGGATTCTGTGATTCTATGATGATGATGATGGTGGTTATTATTATTATTATTATTATTATTATTATTATTATTATTATTATTATTATTATGCCATGTCTCCATGCTGTTCAGTCCTGGGAGTCATAGTTTTCCAAGGTCCATACCCTTCCCTTGGTGCATTTACACTATGGAATGAATGCTCTTGGACCCTGCTTTAAATACCATAGCTCCATACTATGCAGTCCTGGAATTTATAGTTTCCCAAGGTCCATACTCTTCTCTGGACGCATCTGCACTGGAGAATAAATGCAGTCAGGACACATTTCAAATACCATTATTATTGTATTGTCGAAGGCTTTCATGGCCTGAATCACTGGGTTGTTGTAGGTTTTTTCGGGCTGTATGGCCCAAAAATGCCTCTAGACCATAGCCATATAGCCCGAAAAAACCTACAACAACCATTATTATTTTTCATAGATTCATAACTTAGAAATGGAGATGAGCACCAGAGTCGGACAAGACTAGACTTAATGCCAGGGGAAAACCTTTACCTTTGCCTTATCCAAGATCCCCAATGTTATTATCCCGGAAGTGGATTCAGCACTGTGGGCAGCTCCAAACACAGAAAGAAACTCCCCTTTGGAGCTCTCTTGTCCCTTTTTCGGTGGAGTGATTTGTTGCGTGCCATGAATCATGTGTTTGACAACATTTGAAAAACTCGCAGTGTCACGTCAGACCTTTTCAAAATGTGCGCAGTGTGCTTCAGCCACTGTGGACACCTGTCCATTCGATAAGACCATTTCAAAGATGTTCAGACAGACTTCCATGGATGTCTTTTCTGTGACCTCCCTCTCCTGTTCTAGATGCAACCAGCACATGCTGGAGGAGAGAGATGTCCTCCTTTGGATAGGTTGAGAAGGATCACCGGGATTGTGGTGCAGCTGGCCGAGTGTCAGCTGCATTAAGATCACTCTGGCCAAAAGGTCATGAGTTCGAAGCCAGCCCAGGTTGGAGTGGGTTTCCAACCAATTGTGTGTAGCCTGTTGTCGACCTTTGCAACCTGAAAGACAGTTGCATCTGTCAAGTAGGAAAATTAGGTACCACCTTAAAGTGTGGGGAGGCTAAATTAACTGATTTATGAGGCCATAAAGACTCCAGCAAAGCATTCCAGTGGGGAAGCATGCGGGGAATGCGGAAGTGCTTCATCAGTGTCGCAGATGGACGATGAAAGCGACAGCTCCCCTGGTGGCCAGAAAAAGTTAAATAGCCTCTGTGTATGTCTGTATATGTTTGTATGTCAAAAATTGGCATTGAATGTTTGCCATATATGTGTACACTGTAATCCGCCCTGAGTCCCCTGTGGGGTGAGGAGAAGGGCGGAATATAAAAGCTGTAAGTAAATAAATAAACAAATAAATAATATTTATTTATTTATTAATTTACTTTGCTTATATACCGCTGTTCTCAGCCCGAAGGCGACTCACAGCGGTGTACAACATAGAAAAACAGGGTTCAAAATTCAAGACACAATCTAAAACAATCCACAATCCAGTATTAACAACAACATTATCATCAAAAACATCATCAATTACTACAAAAGTCATTCCACATCGTCTCATCGTCCAAACCACAATCCAGTATCATTTTCCGTTGTTCCATTCCTATCGTCCTTACCAATCATTGCACTTCTTGTTCGAACGCTTTCTTGAACAGCCAAGTTTTTAATTTTCTGCGGAAGATCATCAGGGAAGGTGCCAGTCTGATGTCCACAGGAAGAGTGTTCCACAGCTGAGGAGCCACCACCAAGAAGGCCCTATCTCTCGTCCCTGCCAGGCGTGCCTGTGAGGCAGGTGGGATCGAGAGCAGGGCCTCCCCGGAAGATCTCAAAGTCCTCGTGGGCTCATAGGCCGAGATGCGGTCCGTTAGGTATCTTGGGCCGGAACCGTTTAGGGCTTTATAGGCCAACGCCAGCACCTTGAATTGAGCCCGGTAGCAAATCGGCAGCCAGTGGAGCTGGTACAACAAGGGGGTTGTGTGCTCCCTGCGTCCCACTCCTGTTAGTATCATGGCTGCCGCCCGTTGGACCAATTGAAGCTTCCGGGCCGACTTCAAGGGCAACCCCAGGAGGCTGCGGGCCATTGGAAGCTATTCACTGCTTTCTCTAGGCTATCTTTAATTTTTAGGTGCCAGGTGTTGTTGTATTCCCATAAGAACCTGGCCTTAGACGACCCAGGAAAGCAAGACCCATGCATTAACCATTTCCCTCCTCTTCTCTCTCCAAGGCCGATGCTGCGACAAGCTTCTTGCGGGCAGCGCGATCTGGGAACCTGGACAAAGCCTTGGATCACTTGAGGAATGGAGTGGACATCAACACCTGCAACCAGGTAGGCTCTGGGACTCATGACTGGTTCCCCCTGCTTTCTCCATTCCACCATTTCTGGATGCTCATGGATCCTCACCTGCCCCTGAAATCATACATTCATTTTGGTTGGTCATTGGTATTGTTTTACTTAATAGAGGTTGTTTTTCCTACATGCGCAATTTCCCATTTTTCCTAAACTTCTACTGAAAGGCGCAAGTCCCATGAGAAACAATTGCATCGGAAATTGGGGTGTCTTATATAAAACAGCAAAAGAAGAATTTGCTTTCGGAAATATTGGAGAGGGAATGTTTTGAATCGGTGGGTGCAAAATAATAATAATAATTATTATTATTTATTTATTTATTTATTTATACCCCGCTTCATCTCCCCCAGGGGGACTCGGTGTGGCTTACATGAGGCCGTGCCCCGAAATACAGTAACACAATATAACACAAAAGCATAACAAAACCAGAAATAAAATACATAAAATGCAAAACCAATATAATAAACGAACAGCAAAAGCAAATCAAACATTAAAACACAAAGGATTAGTCTGGGCAGGGCCGAACTCAATGATAATTTTTTTAAAACGCTGGGAGATAGGACAATATAAATTATTGGGAGGAGGATCCAGGGATAAGGAAGGATTTAATTGCACAGACCATAAAATAAAGTGCTTCTGAGGTCATTTTATGCAAAATTTGGTCAGGGAGTATCTTACATTCAATCACTGAAGGCACATTGGAATAACCAGGTTTTCACATTCCTCCTGAAGATTGCCAGCGTGGGGGCTTGCATCTCTGGGGAGTGAGTTCCAGACCTGGGCGCCACCACAGAGAAGACCTCTCTCTTGTTCCCACAAGTCGCACTTGCGATGCAGGTGGGAGCGAGAGAAGGGCCTCGCCGGAAGATCGAAGAGGACGTGTGGGTTCGTAGATAGAGGTACAGAGGTACTCCTGGTCAGTCGTAAGGCCGAACAGGGCATAGGGTTACAGCCTGTGTTAGACGGGGTTACACTCCCCTTGAAGACACAGGTTCGCAGCTTGGGAGTGATCCTGGATTCATCGCTGAGCCTGGATCTCCAGGTTTTGGCGGTGACCAGGGGAGCATTTGCACAGTTAAAACTTGTGCGCCAGTTGCGCCCGTACCTTGGGAAGTCTGACTTGGCCACGGTAGTCCACGCTCTGGTTACATCCCGTATAGATTACTGCAACGCGCTCTACGTGGGGTTGCCTTTGAAGATGGCTCGGAAGCTTCAAATGGTCCAGCACGTGGCAGCAAGGTTGCTAACTGGAGTAGGGCTCAGGGAGCATACAACTCCTCTGTTGCATCAGCTCCACTGGCTGCCAGTCTGCAACCGGGCTCAATTCAAAGTGCTGGTTTTAGCCTATAAAGCCCTAAACAGTTCTGGTCCAGTCTATCTATCTGAACGCATCTCTCCCTACGAACCCCCCAGGAACTTAAGATCGTCTGGAGAGGCCCTGCTCTCGATCCCGCACGTCTGGCGGGGACGAGAGACAGGGCCTTCTCTGTGGTGGCCCCCCGGCTGTGGAACTCCCTCCCTAGGGATATTAGATCAGCCCCCTCCCTCCTGACTTTCCAAAAAGGAGTAAAAACTTGGCTCTTCGAGCAAGCATTCATAACCCCGGAGTAAACAGACAAACTAGAGTTGGAAATTGACCCAGGAACGGCCAAGACAATGTAACGGATGAAGATTTGAACGAGAGGACATCGTCTCTTTTTAAATTGTTTATTATGCACTCTCGTTTATGTTTAATTGCACTTGATGTTTTTGCTTTATCAATGTATGTATTTTGTTTCGGCATCGAATTGTGCCGACTGTGTATACCGCCCTGAGTCGCCTTCGGGCTGAAAAAGGCGAGATAGAAATAATGTAAATAAATAAATGTAAAATAAATAAATAATAGATAGAAATGCAGTCACGTAGGTAGGCAGGTCCCAAACCATTCAGGGCTTTGTAGGTGAAAACCTGCACCTTGAATTGGGCCCGGAAAATAAACGGCAGCCAGTGGAGTTCCTTAAACAGGAGAGTTGACCGCTCTCTGTAATTTGCACCAGTTCATAATCTGGCTGCTGCCCGTTGGACCAATTGGACTTTCCAGGCCATCTTCAAGGGCAGCCCCACATAGAGCGCATTGCAGTAGTCCAATCTAGAGGTAACTAAGGCCTGGACCACCATGGCCAAATCTGACTTCATGAGGTACAATTGCAGTTGGCACACAAGAAGGGCCGAACGTACCTTTTTTTACCTCCAGTCCTGAGAAAATGCTTGGATGCCATCACCACACCTAGAGATAGGTAGTAGCCACTGCCCACCATTCTTTGAGCATTCATTGGGTGGGTCTTGGTCTTCCTCTCTCATTTCTGCAAGAGGTTCTTCCGCTTTGCCTAGGCTTTCTTTGAAGGGCGCGAGCAGGACGGAGCCCATGTCCTTGTGAAACCCATTTGGCATTCAGGACCTGCCATCTGACGGTGACTCACCTGGCTCATCCGGATGCATTCCCAAGGCAGCCCTGAAAGATGGAGCCGGCCCTATTTGTCTGCCCAGCTCCATGGAAGAATGGCTTTGCATAGAGAAGGGCTCCCTTGCATTCTGTCCACGTTGTGGACATCCACGTTGTGGACATCCAGCAAACTCTCAGGCCTTGGAACGTATCTCTCGGTGTCCTCCTCCGAGGGATCAGATGCAGAGCCACAATTCACGGTAGCCGTTCTGGATGCCTCGTCTAGACTGTGTGATTGGCATTCATGATTACTAGTTTAGGGAATGCATAGGGACTGAGAACCTTCCCCAGTGCATTTTCGCCATGCAGCAGCCATTGCAAACCACTGGGGTCTGTTCCCCTGTCAATCAGGATGCGGCTCATGGATATTTCCACAGCCCCATAGGATTGATCTCTGATGTGAACGTGGTTGAGACAGGGATCTCTTGACTGTTATATTGAGATTGCTTGTAAGAGAAGGGTACAAACACAAAACTGCTGGCCACGGTAACGCTCTGGTTACATCTCGAATAGATTACTGCAACATGCTCTACGTGGGGCTGCCTTTGAGGATGGTTCAGAAACTTCATTTAGTTCAATGGGCAGCAGCCAGATTACTAACTGGGGTGGCAAACAGGGAGCATACCACCCCCCTGTTATGCCAGCTCCACTGGCTGCCGGTCCATCTCCGAGCCCAATTCAAAGTGCTGGTTTTGACCTATAAAGCTCTATATGGTTCAGGCCCAGCTTACTTGTCCGAACACATCCACCCCTACATCCCACCTCGTAAGCTAAGATCATCCGGGGAGGTCCTGCTCTCGCCCCATCAACAGCACAAATGCAGCTGGTGGGGACGAGGAGCAGGGCCTTCTCAGCTGTGGCCCTCCGCCTATGGAACACACTCCCAAAGCAGGTAAGATCTGCTCCCTCGCTCCTTACCTTTAGAAAAAAATTAAAATCATGATTCTGGGACCAGGCCTTTGGACAATAGATGTATGCAGCTTTTAGCAGGACAAGGACTGGAACGGTGACTCAACTGATGGGATTGTTTTATGGTTTTAATAACTGTTTTGGTATTTGATGATGTACTGTTTTTAATATGACTTATGTTTAAAGTGGAGCCCCCGGTGGCACAGTGGGTTAAAGCACTGAGCTGCTGAGCTTGTTGATCGAAAGGTCACAGGTTCGATTCCGGGGAGCGGCGTGAGCGTCCGCTGTCAGCCCTAGCTTCTGCCAACCTAGCAGTTCGAAAACATGCAAATGTGAGTAGATCAATAGGTACCGCTCCGGCGGGAAGGTAACGGCGCTCCATGCAGTCATGCCTATGGCCACATGACCTTGGAGGTGTCTACGGACAACGCTGGCTCTTCGGCTTAGAAATGGAGATGAGCACCACACCCCAGAGTCAGACATGACTGGACTTAATGTCAGGGGACTACCTTTACCTTTACTATGTTTAAAGTGTGGTTTTACTGTTGTAGTTGTAAGGCATTGAATTTTTGCCATTATCTATGTGTAAACCTCTTTGAATCCCCCTCAGGGTGAGAAAAGCGGGATATAAATGCTACAAATAAATAATAATAATAATAATAATAATAATAATAATTTCTATCAATGAGAGAACAGACCTTTGTTGTTCACCGCAGTTACTACCCGGCAAGTGCGGATGAGCACTTAGCCTGGGGAATGCAATTAGCTCCATAACTAGAGTGTCTGGATAGATAATCTGATTATATGTTTTTTATTTCTTTATTTATTTTAAAGCATGTATATTCCGCCCTTCTCACCCCGACTTGGAGGACTCAGGGCGGAGCACAGCATATACACGGCGAACATTCAATGCCGGGACACAAATTCACATACAATACATACACATCAAAAAAAATATCAAAATATTAAAATACACCATTTAAAACCGTCCTAGTCATCCACGACAAATCTAACTGGCCTGGTCATCTTTCCTCTTGCTGCTTTATTGCCCTGCTATATGCCAGCTATAAGATTGCCAGTTTCTCCAGGACATCATAGGGCAGAGTCTTTCCACTTAGAATCATAGAACCAAAGAGTTGGAAGGGACCTCCTGGGCCATCCAGTCCAACCCCATTCTGCCAAGAAGCAGGAATATTGCATTCAAATCACCCCTGACAGATGGCCATCCAGCCTCTGTTTAAAAGCTTCCAAAGAAGGAGCCTCACCACACTCCGGGGCAGAGAGTTCCACTGCTGAACGGCTCTCACAGTCAGGAAGTTCTTCCTCATGTTCAGGTGGAATCTCCTTTCTTGTAGTTTGAAGCCATTGTTTTGTGTCCTAGTCTCCAGGGAAGCATAGAATCATAGAATCAAAGAATCAAAGAGTTGGAAGAGACCTCATAGGCCATCCAGTCCAACCCTGCCAAGAAGCAGGAATATTGCATTCAAATCACCCTGACAGATGGCCATCCAGCCTCTGTTTAAAAGCTTCCAAAGAAGGAGCCTCCACCACACTCTGGGCAGAGAGTTCCACTGCTGAAGCTCTCACA